AAAAAAAAAAAAAAAAATAGAAAAAAGGGGGAGTGGAACAAAATAAAAAGCACGTTTTTTGTAAATACGTTTTTTGCACAATTTAATTGTAAAACGTATTTAGTGAATACGTTTTCTTTTGTAAAAAAATATGTAAAACGTATTCACAAAATACGTTTTACAATGAAATTGTAAAGAAAACGTATTTTGTAAATACGTGGTTTTTATGTTGGTCCACTCCCGTCCTTTTTTTTTTGTCCACTTGTTTTGAGAGATAGACATGAACAAAACACGGACAGTCCAGCTCGGCAGGCTGACGGGCTCGAAATCACAGACCCGGAACCAGCATGGACCTAGGTCGTGCCGGATTCATGGCCCGACGGGCTGGGCCAGGCCCTACCCAGGTCTAGGCCCGTCCAAATAAAAAAAAAGAAAGGGAAAATATAATAAAAAAAAACATGTGGTTTTCTCGGGCCCGGCCCGTCGGGCCAGGGTCGGAAAAACAAGACTCTGGACCGGCCCCATTAAAACCCGAGCTAGGCCCAAAATCCTAGTCAACGGGCTTGAACGGGTCGAGTCAGTGCTGGGCCGATGGCCCGTTGCCACCTCTAATAAGAGAGTTGGTATGAAGTAATGATTAGTTAAAGTAATGTAAGAGAATGAAAGTAAATTAAAGTTGTGATGTGTAAGAATAATTGTTTGATATTATTAATTATATTGAGGATAGTGGAGTTATATTAAATTTAAGTTAGATTTTGAGTATTAGTTGAGTATAGATTGAGGTTTTTCATATACAAACACACTATGACTCTCAAAGTTCTCATCATTTGATAGGATTTAACCATCAATCGTAATATAAATCTAAGCACAACGTAGTAATTGACTAGTTGGGCTTCGTATGCAGAAAGCGCGAACAAAGATAATTTCTCCACTAAAATAATCGATCTGAATTGCACCAAATTGTATGGTTATGCACTTATGTTTTGTTGGGTTCGGCTTGGTTTGGCTCACCCTAAACTCTGTACGATGTAATTGGACTGCACAAGATATTGGGCCTGTCAGTATCGAAGAAGGCACATTTACATTGTAGCCCACTAATGACAACAAAATTAGCCCAGACTTGTTTTATGAGGTCAAGCCCATGTGACTCTTTAGAATCAGAAAACCACGATCTGGAGTACTAATAAAGAATGAATTACCGCCCTCGATCTACTCCTAATCGACGGCTCAGGAAAGTGGAACTACAGCGACGCGGATCGTCAATATTGTTCGTCGATTAGAACTAAAGATCCAACGGACAGGATTCATTTCATTCTCCCATGCGTCCCCTTTATAAACTTCCCCTTACATTTTGCTTCACCAGTAGAGTTCAATTGGCAGAAAAGCAAGTCTCTCTCTCTCTCTCTCTCTCTCTCTCTCTCTCTCTCGATTTTAGTTGCAGAAGAAAGAAAAAAAATGTCTGGCCGTGGAAAGGGCGGGAAGGGTCTCGGCAAAGGCGGAGCCAAACGGCACCGTAAGGTGTTGAGGGACAACATCCAGGGCATCACCAAGCCGGCGATCCGCCGCCTGGCCCGCCGCGGCGGCGTGAAGCGCATCAGCGGCCTCATCTACGTGAAGCGCATCAGCGGCCTCATTTTTGTTTAATGAAATGAGGCTTAAATGTGAATGTTCAAGTAGAATCTGTGTGGTTTTCTTAATGTAAATAGCTAAAGAAGATCAAAAGCCATTCAGATGATAATCCAAATACAAATTCTCATAGCAAAAGCACTTATTACAAAGCAGACTAGTTGTATGCATTATGCATGTCAATACAAGAAAGCCCATCAATCACAAGAAACATAAGAAAACACAGCATATACTATACACATCGCAAAACCATTCGACACCCGAATGTTAAGAAACAGAACATCATCCAACAAAAATTGCGACTTTCTTCTCACCTGTGTAGCACCTTTTTAAGTCAACATAAGATCATTACCCTCATGATGCGGACGTAAACACACACGAACCTCATGTTCCTCGGGGCCTTCCCCCAATTTAGGCACCAATATCTCGAGCACTGTCCCGGCCCCATCATAATAAGCTTCGATCTTGGCATCTTCCGGTATCCGAGTCGAAAGAGGAATTTCCCTCACAAACTCACCAGGCGGGCAATGCTCGGACGACCTATCGGTGAGCTTAAAAGTCCTGTTGTGCCTCTTGATAAAGGGAGTACGAGATGTACTCGTGCAAGAAACCTTAATAATCCCATGCGTTAGCGTATTCCTCCAAGAAACCTTGACCCTCTGTAGATCCACAAACGGCAAACTAGTCACGATCAAATAACCCCCTTCATCCTCATAAATCGTCTTAGCAGCCGTAACAGGCCCATAAACGTCTCTCAAAACACCGCTAAATTCATTCAACCAGTTTGGCTCGTAAGGCACAGCTTCTAAATCTGGGATTCGATCCTGACCATTGGCTGCCAGATAACACTCTTCATCATTCGAGAAAAAATCCTTCTTCCTTTTGGTCCCTATAGGAGATAAGTCCATCACAACATCCCCATTACTGTGATTGGTGGGCTGAGATGAGAGATTAAGCACAGACCCGTTGGGCAGCTTTTTCGCATGGCCATTGCTACTACCATTAGTAGTATTATTACCATTGTTACTTCCCTTGACAGGAGGCACCTGCTGCCTATCTAGCTCAAACTCTGTGTTGGGCAAAGTTCTCCACGTGCCGTAATCGCTAGCCTCGGGTGGAATTGTGAAGTTCAAATCCCGGCTCGTGAGCTCAGTCCATCTCTTTCGATCATCTTCATCGAGAACTGTAAGATTAGGAGACGAGAAAACCTCGATTCCGTGAACACACTGAGGGTTGGAAAGTCCCCTGTAATGTTTCCTCTGCATCCTATGCGAGCGAACGAACCCCTTATCGACACTGAAGGGGAAAGGCCGTTCGCCTTGGCGTGAGTGCCCGTTCATGTAACTCCTCAGCTGCATTTTCCCGAGCGCGTTTTCAGGCCTCTCCTTGAAAACCCACATGTACATGTTCTCCATATCGTGCTGGACCAGGAAAGTGTCAAGCTTGAGGTCGGATTTTTCGAAACCGGAGACCCCATTCCCATCCCGGATTATCTTGGCCTTCGACTTCTCGTTTAATACGGGCTTGAAGTAGAAGCTGAAGAAAAACCAGGCGCCCCATATGCTGTCGGCCCGTTTTGCGCACTTACGGCCCGTTTTGGGGACTGCCAGAAAGCTCTCAGTCTCGTATATTTGGGTGCTCAGCCCCACGTCGAGAATGTCAGAATGGTCAGGGTTCCAAAAATGAGGGGTCGGGCTCTGCTCGGCCGAGAGGGGCAGGTTGATGTCGGGCGGGCGGGTCAGGATGACCTGACGGTTCATCTCGAGGTCGAGCTCGTCGTGTGAAGACGAGGCGCTGGAGTCCATGGATAGAATGGTGGAAGGATGGTGGTTTTCTATTGACAGAGCAGTAAGAAGTGTGTCTCCCATTTGTTTTTTCAGCCTTTTGTCGAGGGCTGTTTTCGATTTAACGTAGCCGATTGATTAATTGAACTTGGAAAAGCACAGCAACAATATTTGCAGGCAACACTATCAAAAGTCAGTCCCAGCTGCAAACTCCCACCTCCATCAAAGCCCTAAACTTGTTCATTTCTTGAAGTTCCTTTCTTTATCTTTTTCCTCTGGTCTTTTTTCTTTTGAACTTCTAATAATGACACAAGAGTATAAAACAAGATACAAACCAGCAACTGCAAGAATTTAAGATCTTAACATAACCTACTTAACAAGAACAATACAACCCAAGATAGAAACCACACCCAAAAATAACCCAAGAATCTACATCAACCCTCCAAACAAAGGTGGGAGGAATCGAATCAGATCCATCAAATCCTTATAATATTTCAAAAAACACTGTGTATTATTTTCTATTACCAATCTATGAAGCCAAGGCCCAAGAAGAGGACCAAATCAGATGGGATCTTTGAAGAGTACCTTTTGGAATAAGCTTCAACACCCAATAATAATCCAAATAAGCTTGAGCACTTGCAAGAATCAATTGCCCTAAAAAACCTCATCTTTTTTTTTTACCCCCTCTCTAAAAATCACCTAATCAACAACCCCTTCAAGGAAAGACTCAATTTTTTTTTTCGCATAAAAACTACTGCAGGCTACCGATAATCACCCGAGTGGAGCTGTAAACGAACCGAACGTTCGCGAACAAAAGCTAATCACACCTCATATCCCTAAAAGTATACCCTCGAGACATTTAATTATGAAAAATGAACGACAAACGCGTATTGCTTCACGCGAGAAGGGAGAAGAATTTTCGTCGATAGGTTGAGATTTACAGATGTGTACGGTAATAGCCGGCACCAAATAATGCCCCGCTGTGAAGAAAAGTGCCTCCTTTTGGATCTCAACCAGTTGACCTCAGCTGCTCAGCACAAATGCTTCGCAATTTGCATATTTTGGATTTTTAATTGAATTTACAAAATAAAATAAATTAATTTTAAAATAAAATTACGAGCGGACTTTTTTTTTTTTTTT